GAGATGAGTATCAAAGTTTCAGAAAGCTCACGGAACTGTGGAAATCAGATTGCTCGATACAGCTTCATACCGTGTTGTGGAAACAAAACTCTTAATAAAGAGCTTTGTTTTCCAAATTTTTGGAAAAATTAAACGTTATAGTTTTATAGAAAAAATCTGATTTTTAAGTGTCCTAATCTAGCATTGATATCTCCACATAATTTATTACAATTAATTAACATTAATATTAATATACCTAAGAGATTTCGGTGATACCTAAATCAAGAGAGATTTTCTAATGACCCTTAAAGCAAAAAAACAAAATTAAAGGCTCACATTTTAGAAATCATATTAAAAAATGGTTGAACATTGTTCTGTAGAAATTTCTTTATATTTAAATAAAACGTTTTTGAAGAATCATCAGAAATTTTGATTGCCTTTATCTAATACTAATATCTCTAATAGATTAGAAATTTCTCACAATACCGCATTTATTAATATTTATATTTGCAAAGCTACTAAAAAACCGATTTAAATTTGAAAACTTTAACGATCAAGCAACAAGCTTAAAACTTTTAGTACTTCTCAAGCCTTCTTAAAAATTCGACATTCTTGTGCGTACTTCTTGTAAGCATTTATTACATTTTGTAAAAAGTGATTGAACATTGAATAGCTTTGAATTGATTATTTTAAAAATTATTTAAGTTTTGAAAAAAAATGTGAATTTTTTAATGTGGTCTAATCTACCGTTGATATCTACACGAATTTATTAAAAATTTGTTAAAGTATTACACCTGTTAATGCTTAAACTTTAGTAAAAAAGCGACTAATTAAAAAAGTTAAGCAAAATTTCTCTAATCACATCGAAAAAGATTATCTGTTTATAAATCAGTTTTATTTACTTGACTTGTGATAAAAATCAAATAACTGTTAAAAGATATCAAAAATCAATTTCGGCAAAATTGTCCGTATTTATTACATTTCTTTAAATATTCCACTATCAACATTTATTTCAACGAAAGGATAATTATTATTAGACTCCAATAAAAAGCAACTAATTATGAAGATATTTCGATGATAAGTTAAGAGAAATTTCTCCAAAAAGAAACGAAAACGAATAGATTTAGTGTTTGTGAATCCAGCTTACAAAAAGATTTTGACAATAAATTAGAATAAAATCCGTTTTCCGGAGACTTTAACGATGAATTAAGACACAAGTTTCAAACACTGAAAAAGCGATTGCGCATTAGAGTCCTGAAAATAAATAAGTTTGGTTGCTGTTGATTCTGGTTGAAATTAGTGGCACCTGTGCCGAATTCGGAGAAAGCCTCGCTGTCGAAATAATAAAAAAGGTAAATTTTTGTCCGTCGAAACTCGTCGTCCATTAAGCCGCCCGGAATCCGGCCATATCAAAACATCTCTCAAGATAAATTTTGAAATAATTACATCGTTGCCATGTCCGAAAACCTCCACATCGATAAATACGTCGAAGCGAAAAACCAACAATGGCCTAATATTCAATCAGCACGTCGTCCATTTGACAACGCACTTCATCAAAAAACTAATTAAAAATAAATTACTTACTCTACAGGCTATCATTAAATATGCGTTAAGTTTTTACTTGTCGTTGGTTGGTTTTTTTTTTCTTTGCGATGCTCGTGACAACGTTGCAGGTCTTTAGGATACGTCGACAGCGAAATCTGCTCATCACAAGATCTGCGCTCCATCAATCAAAACTTAATGGCTTTTGAAAACATTTATTTACCTCCACGCAGCTCGTAATTCAGACGCGAAATTTTTCTTTAAACGGCAACAATGTACCGACATCTTTACGACCAACACGTGGTGCCAACCTTTAATATTAATGAAGAACCGGTTGGGTAAAAATAGACGCAGGAAGTCGGAACTGATTTTCCTGAAAATTTCACCTTGGACTAGTTTTCCGGCGTGGCGAATTCTCAAATACTGAAGCCACCTGATAAAAAGTAATTAAAGAGTCAAGTCCGGAGTCGCTCATGCATAAAGCCTGGATATTATAAATATTTTTTGTGTTAGTGAAACGTCTATTAAACTCAGTTTCTTTTCGCTATTATTAGCCACTTGAGAACCCGACCTGTGCAATTAAAACTTCAAACACTCTAATTAGGGAACAATAGTTACAAGCACAATTAAGTGCGCTGACTAGACCATTTAATTTAAATTTTCGTTTTGTAATTAGGATCGATCAAAATTTCGCCAAGAAATTCCTCGCGTGCTGGTCATTTTTATATAACGTACCGAATTTGCATGGACCGTTACGAAATTAAGGTCTTTCACACCTACAAATTAGATTAGGTTTCGTAATGACCATAATGGATTTATAGAAACTCGAAGAATGAGTGAAGAAGGTCATACGAGGCATTGTTGGGAGTGTTGAGTTTGGATATTTATTGTTTAGATTTTGGAAAATGTGCCGGGATTTGCATAACAAACCGGTCGAGGATTCTGTTTGGTTTGGCTAAATCTATTATTTTTCGTATTTACATACATAAATCAATACTACAGTCAAAAATGTGGGTAGGTGCACCTAAAAATAAATAAATAAATATTTAAGAAAGACAAATAAAAGAAAGTGAATAGGTACTCAAAAGTTTTTCTTGACCTACCGTTGAAATCTCTTAACAAAATTAATTTAATGATTTGCTTAGAATTATTTGCTTATTTATATAAAAATCAATGCTGAATAAATACTGAAAATCAATGCCAGGTTAAGACACATGTTGCGTTGACTAAATTACTTGTCTTGGGTAACCAAACCAAGCTTCCGTAGTGTAAATTCCTGCTTTTGCTCAAACATAAATCGAAAAATTTTACCAAATCACAAAAATAATAATAATTTCAATTAAACTCGAATTGCGTCTCTTATAAAACTTTGTTTTGTTTTATTAAAAGTATTTTCTTGAATTTTGATTTTCACTTTGTTTTCCGATATAATAACAGACTTCGCTGTTCTGATTTATTGTTAAAATCTTCCAATGCTTATTTTAGAACAAGACAAATTATTGATAGAAACAATGTTTACAACATTTTTTAAGTCCTGAAATATTTCCCGTTTCTACAATCGCTAGAATAATGATATTTTGCTATCTAGGTTACGAATTTTCTTCTCGGTAATTCAGTTCAACTAATTTTATTCAAAAAAAAACTGTGTTTAGAAATAAAATGCATTTTTTGTAAAAAGTTGTGGAGATATCAATGCTTGTTTAAGAAGCATTTAAAGAATTTCTGTGCAAATTTCAAATAATTAAAAAAACAATGTAAACAGCTTCCGCATTGTAAATGCTTGTTTTTGTTCGGACATAAAAAATCGTTTTTATAAAATTCCAGAAATGTTAAAAATTTACGTAGAATTCGGTTTCAGTTGCTCGAATTGCGTTTCTTTTGTTCTCATCTCGCGTGCTTTTACCTTTGTGGGTAAATCCGACCTTTTACAACATATAAACAAGTTTTAATATACGATGACTTGTTAATTTTAAATAAATTTAAAATGATTTCAAAATATTTTAAACGAAAAGTAAACTATTCAGTTAGTTTTCGTTATCAAAGATTTTATCTTGATTTATCGATGAAGTCTCCCAATAGTTATTTGGGTTTTACATTTGTGACTCTACTTTTAGTTTACAAGAGCGAGAAATGTGTGTTAATAGAGTTGAGAATGAATTATTTTGTAAAACTGTCTGGAGATATCAATGCCGGGTTAAGACACATTGAAGCATTGTCATTTCTTAGAAAAAAGCTTGTTTTGAGCAAAGCAAACAGCTTCCGTGCAGCGAATTCCAGTGTTTGCTCAAACATAAATCGAAGGCCATCAGCTGGCAGCTTCGAAATTGCAAAAATGCTGAAAATTTCTTCAGAATTCGTTTGGTTGTTGTCTTTTGTTCTGGTTTCGCGTGCTTCTACCTCCGTAAATCCGAACCTTTCCGACACATGAATAGGAGCGCGTTGCATGACATTTCCGCGAGTGGGCGACCTTCGTCGCAACGTTCGCGGACCCCTGGGTGTGCAGAAGAGATACATCGCGCCGGTCTGACCTATGAAGCAATGCCGAGCTGAGCACGTACGCCTGGAATGCGCTGGGAACGCTACTCCTTGCTTTTATGTAACGATTATTCCCTTTGACCTTCCCCCAGATCCCCAAAATGGGATTTTTCAGATCTCTAGACGGAAATTTTCAGGTTTCATGACGGCTAAATTTGCGATTAATAAAATTCGAGAATTAATGATTCCTGCTGCGAAAGATCGCCGATGACCGGCTTAAAATTCCAGACGAATCGCGCCGAATGCCTCTGACTTGATTTATTCGGAGGATTTGCTGTGTCGCCAATTAAAACCAAATTACTGGCAATTAAAAAACGGTTTTTTTATTTTTTTAATAGAAAGTTAATAATAAATAGCCATTTTTCCTGGAGAAAAGTAGATGTTTGTTTTCTGAAAAAGGTTAATCCGGATGAGCTTTTTCGTCCGATTTACAGTTATTCTCACTCCTGTATTCTATTTATTATAGTATCCGTTTCCATTTCGTATTTATGAATTTTTTGCTTGCATGCTTTTGTGATATTTATTACAGCGTTTGACAGTGAGAAATCGCCGGTTTAGCGCATCGCCGATTTTTCAGATTCCATTGAAATTTGTGTGTCAAAGTCTGGCAAAAATGGCCATGTTTTCGGTGAAACTCGTCTCGCAAAGTGTAACGCTACAATTATCCCTATAAATATTCATTAAAGCACCGAAACGAGGTACATTGTTCAGCAGGAAACTCCGAATTCTCATGAATGATTCGCACAATTATTATCCTTGTCTTAATTGTGTATAAAATTTCTCGGGGTATCTAATCCGTGTCAGATTCGACATGTGTGCCACCTCCCGGAGCCCGCTTCTCCATAAAAAATCGAAATTAATACGTAATCGATGCGATGATTTATTGACCGTAATTAACGCTTCCTCGCTATCATTACCATCGCTTAGCAAAGGCCAACACTCACCACTGGAAAAACTGCTAAATCGCCAACAGACGCTCACCTGAAACAGAAAAACACGCTCAGTTGCAGGATTTTTACAATAAAATAACAACATATAAAATATTGAAACACCCGTAATGCTTATTCTAAAATTTATTACCTATTTAATAGCTGAAACTGGTTTAAAATTTTCATCTTCAAGCAGTTTACCTCTTATTTCAACGGCAAAGGATTATTTAGGACAGTAGCGGATTAACAAATAAAATATAAAATGTGGGTTGTTACAAATAATAAAAGAGTCAACTGCTTTTTCAAAAGATTTATTTATAATTTTAGCGAGAATTACACTATTGACCAGCTTAATACCAAAAAAACTCTGAAAAACGATTATTTTTTTATGTATACAGAGTCAGGGAAATACGTTGCAAAATTTCAGGGGTAGTTTCTTTGATTTAAATAAAAAAAGTCTAGAAATGCTTCCTAAAAAAAAACTCACTGTCTGGTTTGCTTGCCGAAATAAAAGCCGGTGCCTTTACCCCTCTAATTAAAGTAGACAATTTTTGATATATATATTACCAATAGTTTCAGCGCCAAAAAATTACTACAGATGCAAACTTTTGTAAATTAAAAGTCTTTTGCTCACCATTTTAAAGAGGCTCTAATTTTTTCAGGAATCACTTTTTTATTTAAACCTTAGAAACTACCACAACATTTTTCAACGTTTTTACCAAATACCCGGTATTCTTTGGACCAGTTACTGAATTTTTACATTCTTTAGAAATTAAATTTTTTTCTTTTACATATTTCTTGTAATTTTCAATAAAATATTAATAGAAGTAGTAAAAACATTCAGAATAATTTTTGTTCATATAAAAAAATAAACACACCTACACATCACAGAAGCGGAAAAAAAAATTAATTAATAAAATAGTTAAATACATATTACGATATGAGTAAAAAATATGTAAAAATTTGAAATAACGTTGCACAATTTACAAACTATTGTATAAATTTTGCTGACGATTTCAATAAGACGTAGGTATCAGTCCGAAAAGTTTTTCCTTAGAGATTTTTTGGGCAACTTTTCAAACTATTCTGTTTATTTTACGTACATTTTTGGGAAAATATAATTTTCTAGTTATAGTTTATAAAAAATTATCCTAAACTACAGAACTGTTAACCGTAAAACTCTCATTTAATTAATTTTCTCAAATAAAATTTACTCGAAAAATGTTGTTTTGATCACTTTTTCTTACATTACGTCTCTTCCAAAAATTGTCAACAGTTCAACTCCAAGAAAGTTTTTGTTCTGTTTCAAGCGCAAAAGATTACTGTAATAAAGCTATTCATTTTCTTGCCTTAAATCAAATGTCGTCCAAATGTTTCGCATTTTGATTTAGGCACATTAACCGGTTGCAATAAAGCTCATCGATAGCACTTTCTAGATTGCAATCGGCCGTTCCACGTCCAAGTTTATGACTCGTAATAATGGTTTATGGTCGGAATTTAAGTGACGTCCAACATTTTTATTGTCGGAAATTACACGTACTGAATGCCGGTTTTCAATTATCTTTGTTTAAATTTTGGCGGCTTCGAGCGACATTTCCCATACTTATGTGGTGGGAAAATTCAGTTTCACTTGCGCTTTTTCATACAATCAGTTACTCAATACGCTGTGAAAATCGCATTTTTGCGCTCTCATGCGAATTTTCCGGGGCTCCGGGAGTGCATATGCTTGCACCCATTTCGCCGATAAAAACGCATTCTTATGTGGGTGCAGCAGTGGCGCAATAATGGCATAGTTGCGCGACCCGCCTGTCGTGCACCGCTTTTAATTTCAATCACGAAGTGCCGTTTTTCAGGGGAAGGTCGCGCGACTCCGGGCGAAATCCGGTGCTGCGGGTGGCTGGGCGCGGCCGCGCTCCGGTTTTGCTCTCTTTCCCGGTTTTTACCATTTAAGTTCACGGCGATGAAGATGGGAAGGTGAGGGCCGTCGCGCGATGACCTTATCTAATCTGCAATTTATTTCGAATTAGTGCTTCGAAACGCATCATCTGCGAAAGGAGGCGAGCATTTATCACGCGTTGAGGTCGCGCATTTTTAACACTTATCAATCAGCGTTGGGAAAATGCGCGACGGGATTTGCTCAAACTAGTTTTCTAAGACTTTGATTTATAACCACACCGAGAAATAAATAAATTTTTCTTCGGGAGAAATTTGCTTCAATATTTTGGCAAAGCCAAATCGTGAAAGTTGACTTGTTTTTTGCGCATCGAGTATGCACCCAAACGAAAAGAATGCAGTTGAAATGCAATTACCGGTTAATTACCAAAAAAAAAACTTTCTTCAGATGACCAATTTCGAGTATGAATAAAATTAAGGTCATTAAACGAAACTGATAATATTTTGACAGGACGAGATAAGAATTGCGCCTTCTGAAATTTCACGCAGAGCTTTTTAAGGGAGTTGCATTTACTTAAAAAATTAATTAGTTGTGATAAAATTAATTGGATTTGCGGACTCGTAAACTTTCATTTTTAATTTTTCATTATCTGTCGTGTAAAATTAATTAAAATTTAAATACAAAATGGAAACAAAATAAAGTGGATTGCGTAACGCATATTTGAGATTTGAATATTGAATTATCATAGGAATGACAGGTTAAGCCTAATTAATCGCAATTTATATAACCATTTTTTGTCAATTAAGCATAGCGCACCGACTTTTACCTAAACGCCAAAGGTGCGGCTTTATTGACACTCTGGAATAAAAAAATCACTAAGCAGCTTAACGAAATCCTCGATCGTTTAGTGTAATTCCGTTAAAATCCTCGATTTTAATCAGATTTTGCTCAATTAATAGGTTCAAAGTTCCGTCAACTTTCCCTGAAGCTTTCCATCTTAATAACAACGTTAGCACTGACAGTGATTTTTTCCTGCAAATCACCTGCATGGATGTGTAACGTAATAGCAGGAGGAAGATCTCAATCTGTACCTTTTTTCGCTTAGGCTGTTATTAAGTCTGGACGTAAATCTTGTAGATGACAATCGTAGTAATTAAGCGCCGCTTCCGATACATCAGGATTTGGGCTAATTGCCCAAATGAGGCAACATACCCATCTGTAACGGCGAACGCATTGTTGCGCTTTTTACCATATTGTTATTACTATCATTAAACGCTAAATTCGTTTAGTCGATAAAAACGTGCTGAATTTTTTCACTCCTGAATTAATCATTTACATTAATGGCTTTGTTTACAGTTATTTATTAGGCGAAGCAAACTAGTTTTGCTCAATTAATTTTTTCATGCAAAACAAACGACGATTTTGAATCTTTCATGAGGTGGATGGCCCGTGCAAGAAACTGACCAAAGTGGACGGGAGATGAATTAATTATTGTAATCTCAGAAAATTAATGGCTTTATAATGAACGGCGTTGAGACACAAATGCAGCGAAAATCTTGCCCAAATTGAATATTATAGAGGAGGAGTCTTGTTTTTTTGTTCCACAAACGTGAAATTGCAGATTTGTCATGAAAATTGATTGCAAAACGCAAATATGCACAACATATTGTTCCATTGTTACAAGTTTTTAGATAATTCCAAGATAAATCCAATTATTTTTTTAATTTATGAAAAAATAACTGCATTTCAAGCCAGTCAAGTGCTAAATTTATACGACAAATCCATTTTGCACAAACATAAATAAATCACCTATCTCTAATAAATTATTATGAAATTATTTTCAAAGACCAAAATTGTCGTACACAGCAAGATAACTACTTTTCTCATTGTCTCGTTAGAAAGCAAACTTTTTTAACAAAGAATATTAAAAAAATCTAGAAACAATCAGTTTTCATGTATATACTTTATAGTTTTTGTATTTATTATTTTGTATTATTCTCCCATTTCTTGTAATAAGTTTTAGAAAACATTTGCGAATCCGATAGAGTGAGTTCTATACAATAGTATTTAACCACTGTTTCTAGTTATTCTTTTATTTCTTGTACTTTTTAGGGAAACATTAATAAAAATACCAAGTATTCAAAATAATTTTTGTTTGTATTTTCCTTTGAAAATTTTTTCTTATAATTAACAACACACACTTAAAAACAAATTTTTTGTTTTTCTTTTAAATTTGAATTCCGATTTTTTGTCCACGACTGTAATTGCTTTAAATTTTTGTTTGGGGCAGAATTGCCGTTCAAAATAGTGTTATTGTCGTCCAACATGATAATTATTTTTTCATTGTCTCGTTGAAAAGCATACAGGAAGCAAATTCCTCATCACTAAACATGAAATTAAAACATGTCTTTTCTTCCCGTGACGTCCAACACATTGTAGATTTTCAATAGCCGCACGTCGACAACAAGGAGGCTTAAAATTAAACCGGCGGTTTAATCTTCATTTATGGTAAATAGTCTCCCTAAATAGAGATTTTTGGTCGGGTTAGCGACTTGTTAACCCAGTAACCACTGTGTCAAACGCGATTTTTCGCCGAGGACGTGCCACATGACTGAATAATTATATTCTAATTTAATTTTTTACGGTATGTGAGTAAACTTTCCGCTAAGTCGCAGCCTGAGGCTTCCTCGAGCGTGAAGACTCGATCGAGATGGGGCCGCTACTGACCAAAATCGAAAATCAGCAAGGCGAAAAATAAATTTTTCGAAAAAATGTGTTAATTAATTCATTTCGTGCAGATTTATTCAAGTAATTCAGCGAGCGACATGACTTTCAGCACGATATAAATCATGAAATTAATTCGTAGGAGGTGCCGGATCGGTGGGAGAATTTGGGATGAGTAGAGATCGCAAACTTTCCCTGATTGTTAAAACAAGAGTAACGAGAAATCTTATTATTAAATTAGTCGCCGCAATTAAATGCGATACAATGCGAATTAATGAAGCTTTTCTCCGAGTAATTGGAGTTGGTGAAGACGCTCCTGGAACACAGCCCACCCAAAACTCGGGCGAATTTCGTTTAATCCCGCATAAATTATGCGTTTTATTAGCATGCGATACGAAATAACTGCGTTTTAATTATGAATAAATATGGTTTTGCTAATTTTCGATTAGTTTCATTTGGATTTTTTACAGTCGAGTGCCGGAGTGGCGTTTGGAAAATTTTTGCGTAATTTTCCGTTGTTGCAATAATTAACCAAGTCAAAATGATAATCTCATATTTATGAGGCAGTTAGGTAATTTACTTACTTTATAGCCAAACCTGAAATTTGACGTTTAATTTATGAAGTTTTTGCTCGTAAAATTAATTCCACTTTTCAGTAATTATCACTACAAATGAAAGTAAACAAACTTTTTGCCGTGCTACAAAATTACATTAGCGCAAGTATTTAAGAAAGCTTTGCCCTTTTTCAGGACGTATCTATAGCGGAAACGTATCGTTCAGGATGCGCTAATCAATCAATGGAAATTGCACATTTCTCTAATTCATTGACGATTAATTATGCTCATTTTTTACACTAGCAGAACTGATAATTCTAGAGGAGTGTCCTCTCGAAATCAATCTTCAACTTTTTTCTCTCTTCACCGATTTACAAGTTTAATTTATAATCTTCTAATCACATAATTATACACAAAAATGTCTTTGCAAATGCATTCGATGATCTTCAATTACAGCTTAACTAATTTTCGATTAGTTACATTCTAATGGATTCAATAATTCAAAACTGGGAAGAAGCACTCTGAAAGCTTCTTTTTACATTGTTGCAGTAATCAGCAAGTCAAATTGAAAATCTGAAATTTATGAAGCAAGACAAGTCATTTACATGATTTACAACTAAACCTGAAATTTAAGGTTTAATTTACAAGGAATTTTGATCGTAAATCCTGCTTTTCAGCAATTATTTCAATGCGAGGTGAGAAGAGAAGCATCAATCTTTGCATTGTTCTTAAATATTGCCCCCTTGAGAACGCTTCACCCAACATTCTTAATTCGACACATTTGAGCATTCTTTAACACAAAAGACATGATTGCCACAAGAAGTTTTCTTTCTTTTCTTATATCATTCTTGGAAACATTGATTCATTGATTTAAAAAAAAAATTCGAGATTGTTTATGGGTTTTGGTAAATTCGCTTAGATTTTTAGACTTTTCAGCAAACATTTCAGTACGAGGTGAAGCATTCATGTTAAGTTTTAAAGCAGCAAAAATATTCTTACGTAAAACCAGATATTTGTTATCATTTTAAGACTTGAGACTTTTCTGAAGTGTGTTGAGAACTATGGACAGCGAACAAATTGTAGCTTTTGAATAATTTAGTGAGTAATAAATGTGAGCATTTAGTCTATTTTATCTCGTCACAAGTGCGTGAATGCTTTGAAAATGATATCTTTGGTTCTCTTCTTGTAATTCATTGGCAGTTTCATTCCTGTTATCTAATGTAGAACTCGTTTAGAGTTGTTTACCAATTATTGTGAGCTTACAAGTTTGTTAAGTCAGTGATACCTGATTTATTTACATCTTTAGTTTAATGCAGTTAAATCTAATTGACACATCGCTATTTCTATTGGTTAAATTTCTCTTTTTCAGCTTGGGCGTTAGTTAATTAAGCTCTCGCTCATTTTCCAATTTAATCTGTTATCACTTTTTTGATGCATGGAAGTAAATGAAAGTAGACTAAGACGGTTTAATGTGTTTGATCTTACAATAAGTAGCGGTGCAAAAAAGTTTAATTTAGTTTCGAAGCTTAAGCGTTCGATTAGGCAAAAAAAGTAGGACTAGAGTTAATTTTGTTTGTTTGGTATTTAGCACACAATTTGGTAAAAATTTTACCGGTTCGGTAATGAAGTTTTTCGCCTTATTCATGATTGGCGCTATTAATACAAGTGACACATCCGCGTGTGTAAATATCCCGGCCACGTCTTCGTATGGTAATAAAGCATTTTTTCCTCGTAGAATATTTATGCGGTTTCTTGACCGGTGGGAGAAATTGTGGAAAATAATTTTCATGTCTGGCGGATAAAAAGATAAATCGATGAGTGATTAATCAACGTCTATGTAAATTTATGCAAATTGTAGTTTGGGCAAGCACCAATCTGGGAGCCAAATAGAGGGTCGTCGACTCTGATAAGACGATGATAAGTGCATAAAGTTGTCGATTAGGAGAATAGTCATGTCGCAATTTCATTTCGTACCAAAGATGGTAATTACGGCGAACCAGTCGCATTCCGATGTCGTACGCTCCGAACTATTTCAACTACTTACATGCATAGGAAATCCAAATTTAACAACATGGAGTTTCACTAATTATTCTTGCGGAATGAGGTTAGAGCTTTGGGGGCACTTTCCGGTCAGTATTAGAGCCTCACTTGGGTCACTTTGTCACTGAAAATCATGATCACTCCTTCGTGGCCATTTGCATAGTCCGCAAACCGGAATAATCCGAAGGTCAAACGTGCTCACAAAAGAAACGTCCAATTAGTCGACTTTACCACGAAAATTGACCACTGCCAGTTTTTCGGCCGCAATTACCACTGTCCGTATTTGGCGGACGAGTTTTTCAACCAGATTCATTAAGCGCGCCGGCGAGTTCCTCCACACTGGGGGTGCGAGCTGCGACCTTCCCCAAGCGGAAGTCCTTCGGTTCTGCACACTAGCGGTACCACACAGTGCACGAACAGACTGAATACCACCCACCTCCAAGGGGACCCACAGACCTACATTTCGTCCCCTCCAGTCCCCACCTGCGGCCCCCACCAGCGCCAACTCGGAGACTTCATCGCTGGACCACCAGACCAACCCTTGGAAAATTGGTTAAAATAAGCGCTAGATGCAAATTGATGACTAGGATGTTTCAATTAGGCGAATATGGTATTTCGTAATTGAGGAAATTGATGATTTATTCGAAAATTACCATATTTTCGTGTGCTCAATTTTAACTCAAACATGTTGCTATGTAATTTTATTGGTTAATCAAATTCTTCGATATTTACTAGGACTTAGAATTTAGCTCAAAAACATGAAAACACCTGAAAAATGTTAGTGTCTCTGATTACACAAACACTTAAATTTATTAGTGCGTGTTGAATAATTAATATTACTACATATTTTGCTTTTTCTTTGTAAATTAGACATAACATTTTGTAAAATAATAGTAACAAAATAAAATTTTTGAATGCTATAATATTTCCTAAACCACCGAATATAATAATACATCTTGAAAAGTGCACTTTGAGGATTAAAATTAACTAAAACGTAGTCTTCAAAGGTTTTTATAAACCTACAAAAAATATGCCTCATAATAATTTTATCTGCTCAGAAAAGCACTTATTTCATATGTTGCTACAAGGATTAATAAGATTTGCTATTTTCTTCTTTTTTGTATACTTAAATATTTGTAAACTAAACACAAAATTAAAAAATAACAAGACAAAGTTGTATATTTTTATCCGATTTTTCTGTTTACTTCTGGTGCAGAAATACTATTGAAAATTTCAGATTTAAATTTGTAAAAAAAAGTCCAATAAAAATCTATAACGTTTCTCAAGAATAAAATTTTTTGAAAGTTATTACCCACTGGGTATTTAGGTTTTATTCAATTTTTGTCAACTTTTTTTTTATACCAAGTTAAAAAAACGGCAAGCGCTGTAGAAGTTTTATCTTTGGCCCAATTTAAAAAATTAAAAAAATAAGTTAAATTAATTTTACGATTTTAGAATTTTTCAAAATGTTACGAGTATAAATAATATACTTTGAGTTATATATCAACTTTTTTATTTTACATTCAAACCCATGTTTTTCCATAGTTTTAAAGTATTAGTTTTTAGTTTTCTTGGTACATGTGCAATAAATTTTACTTTTACTAAAAATGGTTGTTTAAAAAAATTAACATGTTGAAAATAAGCTAATTAATGTTAACAAAACCTAGTTACATGGTGTCAAATAAGGTAATGTCATTGTAATGTTAAAAAAAACAGCAAATGAAATAAAATATTGCCAATCTTTTCAAATTTTTAAGAAAAAATGACGATAACAAATCAGAAAAGCATCTAATTTTGTGTTATTAATTTATTTTATTATTATTTATTTGTTTATTGTGTTTACTTTTAATAAGAGAGTAGTTAACATCATTTTTTATATTAACAACATGCAACTAGATTTTATTATTTTCTTTTGTTAGTTTTTGTTCAAGTTTTATAATTTTTTAAACAATATAATTTTTACTTTTTATTGAATCTTCTTGGTATGGGAATGTTGAAAACAAACACAATTTACCTCGACACATCAAACTTTTATTTCAAACACGACGCGTTTCAACCACGAAGTGGTCATCCTCAGGTGATAATATAATTTTCAATGTAGTTTTATTCACACTTGAGGATGACCACTTGGTGGTTGAAATGCGTCGTGTGTGAAATAAAAGTTTAGTGTGTCGGGGTAAAACGTGTTTGTTTTCCATATAATTTTCAGTAAATGTAGAACATATCAAAAAAATTTTTTTCCAAATTATGAAAAATATAGACCCTTATTTAAAATTAGTACATGGAATATATAGTCCAAAATATACTATACTTAACATTTAGAAAAATTGTAAAATTAACAATTTTTTTTTTTTTGAAAATCATCCTCTATAAGTTGTCATTTAAAAAAAATATTGCACAACTCAAAAACAAAACAAAATTTCATTTTCAAAAATTTTATAGTACTTACTCTTTAATTTTTATTAATTATTATTTTTTGAAAGCAAATGAAAAAAAACCGCATGGTTCTATACTTTTTGTTCACCTTGTATATAATTATAGCTAAATTAATACTAAATTCATTATTTTTTATTATCTCTTTTGACATTCAGTGTCTGTCTAATAAATGTACTTACCTCTCAAAAATATTTTTCTAGAAAGTTGATAAAAAGTAGCTTGAAAATCAGTTTTCAGTATGTTTATCTTTTTTTTCAAATTTTTGTTTAATAAATATTGCTTTTTTAAATTTTACACAAAGAGTTTTTTTTATAAGAAAAAAGCCTAAATTATATAGTTGAATTAAATTTTTATTTACAGACTGCTACAATAATATTTAATTAATCTATTACATAATTAATTAATTAGTAATAAAAGGATGATATTTTAGCTTATCAAGTAATACATTGTAAATTATATAAATACTACACAAATATTCCAGTTTTTTTCATGAAACTGGTAGCAGTTAATAAATTATTGGTTACATTTTTTAATGCATTTATTAGAGCACTAAGTTTGGTTGAAGGTATTTATTTTTGTGCACAGATTAAAATATTCCGTGTCGGATTACATAAGTAGAAACATTTTCGAGTTTATTGGCCCACATTAAGTAATTTATTGCTATAAAAAAATGCAAAGTTTTAAGCTCAAATAGATTTTTCGAAAGATTGAGCTTTCCTGCCGAAAAGGGTAGTGACTTGGCAAAGCTCTCGCCTCGTCGAAACAATAGCGTCAGCAGTTAACGGGTGTTTATCTAGCAGTAGCTTGTTGACGGTCACAAAAAATATTTTATTTATAAAATGTGGGCGCGACCTGTTGCGTAAACCGCCCGTGGGAAATTAATTCGGAATAAATTATCGTTTGATTTTAACACGTTGCCCGAAATTGTGTCTCGATTCAAAACCTCTATAATTATTTACCAACAACGAATTAATCGTCGTCGTTCACGAACTTCGTGCACAATATTGATTACAAAGAAAAGGACACTTACAACGACCTGAAACGTATACGCCTCATAAAATTCGTCTTTTATGTTTGCTCGAAATGCAATACTTTTGTCACGCCTATGTAAATCGCATTTATGGACAGTTAGAAGCAATGGCTGTAACGACTCTGATTAAACGCGAAAATATCACTCGAATGACAAACTTATCGCTTACTGGGAGAAAATCTCGCGGCATTTCACGTGCTCGAGGAATTCGGCGCATAATGGGCTTTGATGGATATCTTCCTACTGCCACACACCTGCAATAAACCCGAGTTTTAACACCTGTGTCATCCATTTCGACCGATAATAATAAATTTTATAGGTGAAGGTCTAACCCACTTAGAATCATCTCGTTCGATCATTTTTAATAATTTCAGAAATGTGAAAGAACTGCTTCATTACTTTTTTCCTCCACAATTTTCCAATTAAAACAGATCGTTCCGGGAGTTTGCCTGTTTTATTAACGCTTTTATTAGTCGTAAAGACTGGCTTTGAGGCTGTTTTCAGTCATAACAAAGACTTAAATGTTCCAACTTTGAAATTATTGATGGACGCGTTTCAGGGCATTTAGAGGAGTGGACGACTTACAATTTATCTAAGAATTCATTTTTTTGCGACTTGGTCTAATTGTTAAATACAAGGCCATAAAAGCGAGAATAACAGGATCTTAGTAGGTGGCTAGATCGAGAGCAGAGCTTTGCTCAATTTTCCTGCAAAATCGCAGGAATGCAGGTAATTACTATTCATATCTTCAAGTGACAAAAACGCGATAATTTCGCCTAATTAAGGCTGAATTACAGTTAATGCACTTTGTAAAAAGATCAGCCCTGCAAAGCTTATTTCAGCCTGAAAAATTGTAAAATTAAATTGCGGACGTTAGCGGGAAATCGATAATTAAAATTTTTGAATTCTCACATTTTTTGTTAGCACTGAATATTTTTAACGTTCTATAAAGGTGTACTTTGTATGCCTCAACAATTCTGCTCAGGAAAGCACTTATTTCCGTTAACAGATTTGGTTTAGCTTAATTAAGGTTAAATTAGAGTTCAAGCACTTTTAAAAAAAATCAACCCTTTAAAGCTTATTTCAGCCTAAAAAATTAGAAAATTAAATTACGAACGAAAGCCAGAAATCAACAATTAAAATTTTTAAATTCTAACATTTTTAGTTCAAGCTCAAACTTAATAAATACAGATTTAGAAAAAGCATGCATAATGTTAATATTCGTCATAATACTAAAATTTCTATACCTCACTTTAGTACGTCTATCGTTCAACGTTCTTTAGTTTTTAATGGTATCAAAGTTTTTAATTCTACTGATCTTTTTCCATTGAATGTTTCGGTGTATAAATTTTGTACACTCTACAAAGATTTCTTGTTTTCACATGGTTAACAGTAATTAGTTTACCTCACGTTAATGTTAATTATAATATTTTTTTATTTTCTCGTATAATATTTTTTTAATTACTTTGGGGTTGAGCTTAGTAGTCAATTTTGATATATTTTTTTGTTGTTTCATTTTTAATTATTATTATTATTATTATTATTAT